CCAGGGATTGAACTCAGGGCTGCTCAACCACTGAGCCATATCCCCAGCCCTTTTTTGTATTTTATTTAGAGACAGGGTCTCACTGATTTGCTTAGTGCCTCAGCCTCCTGATATATCATGCCTTTTCATGAAGAAGCCCAACAGTCAACCCCTTGTAGCCCAGTGAAGCATAACTTATTTTCCCTTAACCTTTCTATATTACTTAATATATGTCTTCAGCTCTAAAATTTAATCTTTCACACAATCACAGACTTCATAGCACTGGAATGGTCCCTAGAGATAATCTAACAAAGCCCCTTACATTGCAGATGAGAATTCTGGGTCCTTGAGTAGAGACACTCTAACATGATACCTGGATGGTACCCAGGGATCAAAGCAGCCAGCTCAATATTTTTTTCCACCCCACCAGATGCTTCAATTTTAAGAGTTCTTCTTCTGAGCTTGGCTCTTTGTGTATTTTTTCCCTTTTATGAACTAAGGCAGCCTTAGATTGACATTAAATTCAACTATTCCCATTAGGTCGGTCTCTTCCCATTTTTATCATTATGCAGGCCCCTGTTTTTTTTTTTTTTTTTTTTTTTTTTTTTTTTTTTTTTTTTTTTTTTTTTTTTTGGTGGTGGTGCTGGGGATTGAACCCAGGGCCTTGTGCATGCAAGGCAAGCACTTTACCAACTGAGCTATATCACCAGACCCCTAGGCCTCTGATTTTTATGTACTTCCAGTGAATGTGTATGTTATCCTTATGTTTTGTAATTTTTATATAATACCACTTCATATACTCACTTCCAGGAAACAGTATGTCACTGTGTCACTCTACCATGGATGGCTTAGTCATTTACTTATTATTGGACCCACAAAATCAATAGGCACCTGGAATTACATGCACAAAACTGTTATCTATAGTAAATGACCTTTGGGAGAATAGAACTGGGCATCCTGGCAGTGGAGGGGAAGCTTTCATTTTCTACTTTGTGTCTTTTTGTTCACTGGGTTTTGAAAATAATGTCTTTTTATTTATAAAAAGAACTGTATTAGATGATGGGAATTTTCAATTTTTTTAATAAACAACCCACTTGGGGGCTGGGGTTGTGGCTCAATGGTAGAGTGCTTGCCTAGCATGCTTGAGGCACTGGGTTCTATCCTCAGCACCATATAAATGTAAAATAAAGATACTGTGTCCACTTAAAACTAAAAAATAAATTTAAAAAAAGACTAATGTAAAAAAAAGAACCCATTTGTGGGGCTAGGGTTGTGGCTCAGTGGTAGAGCACTTGCCAAGCAGGTGTGAGGCACTGGGTTCAATTCTCAGCACCACATATAAACAAATAAATAAAGGTCCATCAATAACTAATAATAATAATAATAAAAGAGAACCCACTTGCAAAGCTAGGAGTGGTAGCATATGCACGTAATCCCAACTACTTGGGAGTCTGAGTCAGGAGGATTGCAAGTTTGAGGTCAGCCTCAGCAACTTAGTGATATCTGTCTCAAAACACACACACACACACACACACTTGTATATTCTCATTTCCAGATTATGTTTCTGAAAAGAATAAATAAATTGTTGTGTTCACTGGCAATATATGAGTATACTATCCCTACCCCCACAAATGCACAAACTTCCTGATACTAGGTCTAATCATTCTTATTCACATTGCAACACCTTGAAATCTTTTGAATTTGCATTTTAGGGATTTTCATTGATGATAAAACTATTATTTTGTCATCAAAAATAATTTTATTATTAAGGTAGAAAGAATATATCAGATGGGGGCTGTGGGTGTAGTTTAGTGATAGTGCACTTGCCTAGCATGTACAAGGCCCTGGATTTGATCCCCAGCACCACAAAAACAAATAAACAAGCAAACAACAAAAGAATATATCAGACAATTAGGAAATGAGATGGCACAGGGCTGTAATCCCAGTAACTCAACTCAGGAGGTTGAGGCAGGAAGATCACATGTTTGAGGCCAGCCTCAGCAATTTAGCAAGATCCTATCTCAAAATAAGAAGGACTGCAGGGCTTGGGTTGTGGCTCAGTGGTAGAGTGCTTGCCTAGCATGCATGAGGCAGTGGGTTCGATCCCCAATACCACATAAGAAACTAAAGTATTGTGTCCATCTACAACTAAAAATATTTTTTTTAAAAAATAGAAAGGACTGCAGATACCTCACATTTCCTCATCTATAAAATGGTCATTGATATACCTATGTACAGGTTTGTTGTGAGGACTAAATGAGATAATACATGGTGAAGTGCTTGGAGTGCTTGGCACATAGCAATGCTTAGCAAATGATCATCACCTAATTGACCATCCCCTGTTATGTGGTAAACTCTGAGAAACTGACACTAAGCTTAAGAAAACTCGCCATCAGAAATGCCTTGCATTTGGGGGCTGGGGTTGTAGCTCAGTGGTAGAGTGCTTCCCAGCACGTGTGAGGCCCTGAGTTCGATTCTCAGCACCACATATAAATAAAAGTAAAGGTCTATTAAAAAAAAAAAAAAAGAAATGCCTTGCATTTGGTAATGGATGGACCCTGAGACTATCATGCTAAGTGAAATAAGCCAATCACCAAAAACCCAAGCCAGAATGTTCTCTCTGATGCCAATGCTGACTTACAATGGGGTGGGGGGAGAAGGGAAGGTTCACCAGATTGAACAGGGCAGAGTGGGGGAAGAGAGGGGAGACAGGAATGGAAAAGAAAGTAGAATGAATCAGACCAGTGTAACTCCACATCATGTACAACCACAAGAATGGGAAGTTGTACTCCATGTATGTATGATATGTTAAAATACTACTGCCATGTATAACTAAAAAGATCAAATTTTTTTAAAATTAAAAAAAAGAAATGCCTGGCACTGCCAGGCATAATGGTGCATGCCTATAATCCCAGTGGCATGGGAGGCTGAGGCAAAAGGATTGCAAGTTCAAAGCCAGCCTCTGCAACTTAGTGAGGCCCTAAGCAATTTAGCAAGACCCTGATTTGAAATAAAAAAAAATAAAAAGGGCTGGGGATTTGGCTCAGTGGTTAAGCACCTGGGTTCAATCCACATACCAAAAAAAAAAAAAAAGGAGGGGGGATGAGGAGGAGGAAGAAAAAGGAGGAGAAGTAGAAGGAAAGGGAGAAGAAGAAGAAAGAAATGCCTGGCACCTAGATAGTAGACCTCACTTCTCAGGTTCACTCTATTAGTGGAGCTGGGAACAAGGTTCTTTTTTATCATGAGTTATATAGAGCTTTTAGCTTTTTAGTCATCTTCTTTCTAATTGACTCTATCCTCACAATAGGCCTCAAAGTAGTTGAGACAAATATTTTGACCCCTGGCTTTTCATCTATGAAGAAATAATGGTAACGAGATAATAAATCCACTCATATATTCAACACAGATTTATTGAGCATCCACTGTGTAGCTGATGTTGCTAGGGCCAGGGACAACAGTGATCTCAGCCTTCATTGTCCATATTATCTGATGGTCTCTGGTAGAGATAAGTGCTGAGAGAGGAATGAATCAGAGAAAGGGAGAAGATTGCAATTCTCAGTGAAGTGGCCAGGAAAGGCCTTGATGAACATGTGGCATTTTAACAAAGATCTAAAGAGAGGTAAAGCAGTGAGCCATGAAAATATATCTTGAGAGAGTTCCAGGCAGAGCAGACAGTGAATGCAAAGACCAGGGCAAGAACATACCTGGAAATTGAAAAACAGCAAGGAGGTGGGAGGCTGAAGTGGGTAAAATGAAAAGGGAGAAGGTAGTTGCCGATGGAGTCAGACTCATAAGTGGTGAGAAAGGAGCAGGGGTTCGGATAACTTTATACCTTTTAGGCCATCATCAGAATTCACTTTCCCTTTTTTAAAAATAACTTTATTTTATTTATTTTTATGTGGTGCTGAGAATCAAACCCAGTGCCTCACATATGCTAGGCAAGTGCTCTACCACTGAGCCACAACCCCGGCCCTCACTTTGCCTTTAATCAGAATGGCCAGTGTGATTTCCAAAAGAAAGTTCACCTTCTTTCTCTATCCCATTCCAGTCTGATTTAGAAGCCCTGACTGCAGCAGACAGAGGTCTTTGCCCAACCTCAAATGGAGACATGTTGTAGAGCAGGAAGTCCCCAGAGTAACTAATACTTCATTCCATTCCTCCTCACAGCGCTCTACCCCTCTTGATGAGAACAGTGAGAGGTGCTACTGGAGCACAGAGGGAGAGTGTAGAGCCAGAAATGCCTTTCCTTTCCTCAGAACCACCTGACCAGGGTCTCTCTAGGGCCTAGGAAACTACTCCAAAGAATGTAGTCTAATGGGCTGGCCAGAGGAACAACACAGCTGGAAACTTGTCTTGGGAACAGGTGAGTTCACCTCCATCAGTTTCAAATAGTTTCTCCTCTGTGGAAGTACAATGAGAGATTTCAAGCCATATTTCTTTAGGTACCTGGCAATTAAGCAAAGCAACCCAAGATGTTCCTCCCAATTTTGCCAGGAAAAGACATAGAGGGATCAGAGCTGGACACAAGTGGGGAGGGGGAACTGATGGACATGTACATCTTACCATCTGGGCAATACATTCCAAAGCTGTAGCAAAAAGACATTTGTTCCTGGGGATGTGGATGTAGCTCAGTGGTGGAGTGTGTGCTTTGAATGAGGGAAGCCCTAGGTTATATCCCTAGCATCACACATACAAAAATGCACTTGATCCACTCACATCCACTCTTTTAGTATGAGCGTAGTGAAGTTGGGAGCCACTAGGACCCCACTGAATGCAATAGCAGGAACAATATGCTTAATGGGAAATGCTAGTTGTCTTTTTTTCCCTCTAGGGCAATGTCAGGTTAAGATGATACAAACACAGAGCAATACGATTAAGCTTTTTACCTTCAAAGACTAACCCACCTTGATTTTGGAACCCAGATGGAGACAATGCTTACTTAATCTAGTCACCTTTGATGTCATTACCTAGGTTTTCTGGACCTCAAACTTTTGATCAAACAAGGGCCCTTTTGTTGTTAACTAACTTACCAAAACAAACTTCTCAATTTGTTTGCGGCCTTTTTCTACAGTGAATTCACCATGAGTAATCCACTTGATGTTTTTGATGGGGTTTCTAGCTTCTGCAAATAAGGCATGGATTTGTTAGTTGCCTGGTAGTTGCCATGAAACAATTCTTCAGGCAACCAAACAGGATTATTACCTTCCACAAACTCAACAGCAACAGCGATGGCATCCTCAACTAGAGCCAGAGCTACTTCGGTCACATTTCTGTTGTCTTGTGTGTCCTCCATCATTGCTGTCATCATAGACGTTGTTGCATTGGTTTCAGAATCCTTATCCAAAAACATTACCTTCTGACTTTTGGGTATTTCAGATGCATCCATTTTCTTTTGCCTGGATAAAGACACTCAAGAAGTTACTCTCTGGGGCTGGGGATGTGGCTCAAGTGGTAGCGCGCTCACTTGGCATGCGTGCAGCCCGGGTTCGATCCTCAGCACCACATACAAACAAAGATGTTGTGTCTGCCGAAAACTAAAAAATAAATATTAAAAAAATTCTCTCTCTTTCTCTCTCTCTCTCTCTCTCTTAAAAAAAAAAGAAGTTACTCTCTTCATGTGTATGTACTTGCACAGGAATGCACTCAAGTAAATATAGACTATCTCTTGAAGAATCATGACACAGGTAATAGCCGTTGTCCCTAGGAAGAAGATTGGGAGTTGGGGTAGGAGTGAGACCTCACTCTTCTTGACTTTGTACCTAGCTGCTGGGTTCTAATTTTCCTGAAAATCAAGGATTTCCACATTCTTAAAGCCATGAAGACTTACATCAAAATGTGTAGAACTGGACATAGTGGCACACACCTATAATCCCAGTCAGTACCTTGGGAGGCTGAGTTAAGAGAATTACAAGTTTGAGGCCAGCCTCAGCAACTTAACAAGACCCTGTCTCAAATTTTAAAAAAATAAAAAGGACTGGGAGTGTAGCTCAGTTGTAAATCACCCCTGGGTTCAATGTTCAATCCCTAGTACTTAAGAAAAAGTAATAAAATGATTCTTAACTTCTTTAGAGTTCTAGAAGTCCAAATAATAATTTCTTGTTGAGTCTTTAAAAGAACCTCAATCCCTGCTCTGAGCAACTGGGGTACAGGCTCTTTTAAGTAATGAATTCACAAGCTGGGGGTGTGGCTCACTGGTAGAGCACTTCCCTGTCTACCTTGTGCAAGGCCCTGGGTTCCATCCCCAGCACCACACACACACAAACAGTAGTCAATTAAAAGTCAAGGCAGCAGAGGGCAGGTTGGTGACTGTTTTTTTTTTTTTTCCCCCTCTTGGACTTTTCAGGCATATAATTAAACCATTTCCAAGAAATTATCATTTTTACTATATATTTTCCTGAAAAATATATCTTTATGGGTATTAGCTTTGACACTTCCAGAAAAAAACAATGTTAAATGGAAATGGAGATAATGAGCAATCTTCTTTTGTTTCTGAATTCAGTAGGCATGTTTTCTGGTGTAAAACTATTAAGGATAACACATATGATTTGATATTTACCAAATCAAGAAAAAATTTGCTCCTATTCTATAAATATTTTTATCATAAATTGTAAAGTTTTCCAAATGCCATCAACATCTTTTGAGAATGTGAACATTGGCGTTATCAGGGCTATGGACATTCATCTGTCACAGAGGTATCTTGGCACATTTTTAGTCTTTTGAATATTTTTTCCTCAAGTCTTGAATTCTCTTTCTTTCTGTACTACTGCTTAAGTCTCTTCACTTCTGAGAAATCACTTCTTTTCAACACACTTATAAATCCTTGCAGGTAATTTCGTATATTGGAGTTCTGCATGATAGCAGATGTCTCTCTCCAAATGGAGCTATTTACTTTTTCTGTAAATAGTAGTTTCCAGTGTGGGGGTGATTGATGTGCCACATTTCATTTAGCTGTTACCCCAGGGCTATGATATTAGCCAATGGATACCTCTCATTTGCCCTTCCAGATCCACTCACTCCCCTTTCCCATCTCTCCCTGATCAATGTCCTGGAAAGCTGATCATACAAATAGGCTCTCTATTGCCCTCTGGTGTCCAGAAGTTTCCACACAAGACCAAACTTAGGGAAGAAGGATGAGGTGGAAGTTATAGATCCCCTGATGGCTCTCCCCCTATAGGGTCACCTGTGGCTGACTTCCTGGACAAGGTTCCAGCTTCACTTAGGGCCAGTGTCTCACACAACCTCTTGGTTTGGTAAGAGTAATCATTTTTTCCCATCAACCCCCACTGTGTCCCACTGTTACTGGTGCTGGAGAAACAAAATGTTCCCTTGTTTCCCTGTACTCTAGTTACACCTTTGTATATATCCCCCTTACCAATTATTATAATTTTAATATGCCAACAGTTTCCTATAGAGATGCTGAGACATAAACAGAGGGACTCTTGTTACCATGTAGAAATGAGGAGACCAAGCCTGTCTGGCTCCATAGCCAGTGCTATTAACTACACTACTCTTCTCTCTCCAGGATTCAGAAAGAGTGGTGGGGCCTTGTCCTCACATTTTCATCTGGCATCCAGAATGCACCCATTCTCCTGTGAACCTCCTTCATGAGGAGCAACTCCTTGTTGCCTTTCTTAACATCATTGTTGGTCATAGGGGATGGTGGATACTGTACAAGGCAAACTGGTTCCCATGGCCATCACCAAAAGTAATTTGAACAGCCTTTAAATATTCCTATCATAATACTGACCAGTGTTCATTTAGACCTTGATATTAGCACATTAAGCTCATTATGCCTCTGTCCCAATTCCCTCTTACTGTAGCTGGAGAATAGACAAGATCATTTGCTGAAGGAAATAAAATCTTTCCATGCTGCCTATTCCCAAACTGGCAGAGGCTAAAAGATGGGTGTGAAGGGGATCTGAAAGCCCTCAACACTGGAGAACTGGCTTACCTTGGTCCTTGGGCCATGCCCATTTGGCCAAAGGAATTTGCCATCAATTCTGTGGCTAAAGACAACCACACAAAAGGTTTTGTAATTTTTTCAGTTCAACAGGCTTTGCTGAGTTAGACCATCTTGATCCTTGAGAGAATTGGTCATTTGGTGACTTAGCTTTCAGTAAATTGTCTCTTAAGGGATTGATTAGAAACCAAATCTGTGATCTCCAACACCAAGCAAATGAGCTAGGGGCTTTAAACATGGAAGGATCACCTTAAGATCTTCCCCAGGAAGCCATATGCCCCAACAGAAGGGGGCAGTTGGGGAGCAGGGCTCAGAAAGAAGCTCAGGTTTTATCCTCACACATCTGTATATCATTCTTGACCATCCCTCCAACTGGCTTCTTCTAGTTCTTTTTTTTCCCCCTTCCCTTTCTAATAAGAGGCTAGATGAGCAGGATGGGTGGGAAGAAATGGGGGCATGGTCAAGTTTAAGGTCTGGGTGATAAGTAAGGAAAAATCATTGCAGATCCTTTTCATGGAATCTCCCACCCCTTAAGAATCCCGATACCTGAGTGAACAGATCTTTGTTTGAAGCAGTAGCAGCAGTAGCAGGGAAAGCCTCAGAAGGAATTTCTCAGCAGCTTTTCCCCCAAGATTCAGAGCCGGAATGTTTACAAATGCTGCCAAGGCAACACCAGTTTCAACCAATGAGAAGAAAACCCACATGTTTCTGGCTGCTTCTGTTAATAAAAAAGGAAAATAAAGAGTGAGGGAAGGAAGGGGGAGGAAGACCAGTCACAGCCACCATCTGACCTTGATATAACAGGACTAAGTCATAGGAGCCATACCCACTTCTTCCCAGCAGGAGATGAGCTTGCAGGGCTGTGCCTGGAGGACTAGTAATGTTGCATTTCTCAGCTGGTATGCATTGGGCATCCTGATGATATGCCAGTCACAGTATTAAACCTTTAATGATAAATTAACTATACCTTATAACAGCACCATGAGATACATATCTGTACTTTCATTTTATAGATGAACAAAACAAGGCCCAAAGAGTGTTAAATAAATTGCCCAAACTCAAACCCAGAGCAGTCTGCATCATTAACCAGGGTTATTTACTTTTTCATTTCCAAATTCTAAGGTTAGAACCTCCCCTGTGCCATTGACTATTTTTAAAGACATTTTTTGGACTGGGGATGTGGCTCAATGGTAGAATGCTTGCCTGGCCTGTGTGAGGCCCTGGGTTCCATCCCCAGCACTGGAAAAAAAAGTCTTTTGTGAATCAAGCATGAGAGAGTATACTATAATGGTTATCAGCACAGACTCAGGAACAATTTACTTAACACTTATCTTTCTCAGTTTACTTGTCTATAAAGTGGGGATGATGATAATACCTAAAGAATAGGATTTTGGAGTGGATTTTTGTTGTCATTGTTGTTTGTTTTTATTTTTGTTGTTTTCTTTTGGTTTTGGTAATAGGCATTGAACTCAGGGGCACTTAACACTGAGCTACATCCCCAGCCCTTTTTATTTTTTATTTTGAGACAAGAGTTTCGCTAAGTTTCTGAGGCTGGCTTTGAACTCCTGCCTCAGCTTCCCCAGCTTCTGGGATTATATGTGTGTGCTACAATGCCCATCTGGAATGTTTTAAAGAGATACATTTATTCAGTGTCAGGATCACAATATTATATTTAGCAATCAACAGTATGGGTGCCAAAATTGTCTTTATTAAAAGCTTTTGTGCCTGGTGTGGTGGCACACATCTGTAATCCCAGTGGCTCAGGAGGCTGAGGCAGGAGGATTTCAAGTTCAAAGCCAACCCTAGCAAAAGCAAGGTTCTAAGCAACTCAGTGAGACCCTGTACTCAGTGAGTACTGCCCCCCCACCCCCTTAAAAAAACCCTTCATTGGAATGCTTTACACTTTCCACAGAACTAAAACTAAAGTAACCTGTTATACAATTAGTCACAAATACAGTCCTCAAGGGTTTTTTTCCCCCATACACATGAATGTTGTCTAGAATATGGCTTCTTTGTAAGCAGCTAAGCCCTGCCACCACTGTGTCTCGTTGAATTGACCAATCTGCTGTAACCTGTAGTTTCCCTGTCACCACCCTGGCTCTCTTCTGCTAAGCTTTGTTTCCTGGCAGTAATTAAAACCTTCTGTCACTGCCATAGATACTGCTGCTGCTGCTGCTGGAACTGCCCTAGCTGCCTTTATTTTGTGGTTTGGCAATATATAGGCTTCCACCATTATAGGGGCCAGAGCTTTTGCCTTCAAAGTTTCCTCCTTTCATGGATCCCAAATTTGAAGATTGATTATTGTAATTGCCAAGATCCTTGTAGCTTCTACCGCCTCCAAAACTGTTTCTAGCCAGGCACAGTGGCAATCCCAGAGGCCTGGGAGGCTGAAGCAGGAGGATCGCAAGTTCAAAGCCAGCCTCAGC